TGTAACATGCAAAAAAAGGTAAAAATGTACCTGTATGACTTTATCAACCTCACAATTACAAAATGTATTATGATTTGAAAACAGTTGACACACTTGACAAGAATGCACAATTGTACCCCTGCAATGAATCAGTATTTAGCCATATCACTTCCGGGGCAGAGTACTCCGAAATGCTTTGCGTGGTTGACATGTGACCTTCACATATTTGAGGTAAACACCCCCATAAGGGAACCACAGGTGTGAAAGCCAAATTTGCAGTAAAACAGATTTTTTAAAGTTAGTTTTGGAAATGTGAAGTAATAAATAGACTAATCCAGCGACTACAAGCAGAAGCCATTACTGGCATGGTACCGGGGTACATTGTATCAACCAGAGTGCACCTGTAAAGGAAGCCTGGGGTTTGCCCCTTTAATAATACAATAAGTAAATTCCTTCCGGACATTCTTGTGGTATTTGGTGTTTAGTCTGTTCGCAGTCTGGTAAACTCAATGCAATTACAAGGTAGGATCATTCAATGTCATTGTTTTCACTTCCTGAGGTCATGATCCAACACTGACTACACTTGTCAGTATGTTTTGTTTTAAATATTCATAAGACACTTACTGCTATTGCTTGAGGTGGGGTTTCAAGTCCCAAATCTGTTAACCCTTACTCTCTGAGGGTAGTTTACTGCATGTCAGTTGGTTATGCCAATGCCCTCCAGCTGCAGTTATTTGGCAGATAACAAGTCTTAACAGTGAAGGCTCCAATTGGCAGGAGTTGGAGGCCCTGGAGGGTGCCTGATACTGACCAGCTGGGGGCACTCACTTTGTTATCAGAGGACTCTCATTGTTCTCTGTGGCATGTATTGGAGTGCCTGTCCAGTTACCCTTGAAATGACATGGCAGATATTGGAGGGCCATGCAAAAAACATAGGAGATTTTCTTGAGGCACAATTGGCATGCATTGGAGGGTCAAGTAGGGTAAGGGTTAAAGTACATAGAATGGCTGATTGGCTTTGATTGCACTGTAATGATTTAGGTGGATTTGGATAAGTTCCTAATACAATAACTGTAACATCTTTTCGATCAGAAATATGGACTAAGCTGTTGATTGGTCGATTTGGCTGCCATGCTTTTGTGCTGAAGACCTGAAGATGCTTGCTGAATGGTCAGAATCTGGATATGTCAAGATGCAGTCTTATTTTGCAATTAATCATCAAATCTGCTCGCATATCATGGACCCTTGCAGTGCAAAGGGATATATCGTAGACTACGACTTGACATGACATGTATTGACAGAAACTTCAAGGTGATCATGACTTCACTGCCAATTGTTGACGACTGTTACTGACAGCTACAATAAGTAATTTCTTAGTCATAACACAAAGCTTGATGCAGACACTCTGTCTACGACACCAGACACTTACAATGGTAAGCTAGCTATAGGAATCATCCTGTCATACTGCATCACAGTAATCAATACTAAGTCAAGTACATATACCGGTACATGCTTATGTACATGAAAAATAGTCTGGTTTTTGAACCACTATCCCCCAATTTTTTTTTTATAATTGCAGACAAGTTCTCTTAGGAATCAGCATGGCAATCCAAACCACAGACTACATACATGTAACTATGACTCACCAGTTAACAATTTCGTTCTTTTTTTTCAGCTATGATTTATCAATGTTAGCTGGTTTCACAGCATCCAACACTGCGCACATTCTATTGGACTTTAGGATCTTTAGTGAACACAAGATCTTGTTTAGCTGATCTTGTTGCATGGAGCCAGATTTATTTTGACAGCTGAATGTAATTGGATTCAAAAGGGGAAGTTACTATAGTTTGAAGCAGGCCAAGACCCAAAGTTTCAACTCAATCTACCCAGATGCCCTTCAGAAACACCAAGCTCTCCCTAAACCATCCAAGGGGTCCCACTAACAGGTCTCCTTGCATTCCTACACGCTCAGATTATTCCTCAAGGCTTTCTACTAAAGCACATGTATAAGCCCAGACTGACTGGCATTTATCAAAAGTGGCTTAGTCTAGAGGTCAGTGACCTCATCTGACCTCTGACATACATGTATAGGGATGTCATGACCCATTGAAGTTTTCTAACTTAAATGCGGTTAGTTCATTCAATGATGGAATGAGTAAATTGTATGCAAGTACCATTTGAGATGGCAGGCTCTGCAGAATTTAAAGCCCATTGAATGTCAAATATTTTCAAAGGCAATTTAAAATTTTGTCACATAAATTCAATCAAAATTTGAGAGGGAATTTAGTTCAAAAGGCTGAAACCAACAAGAACAGTGACAAAAAGAACATCAAAATATTCCTAAATTTTATAATTGAATTAGTTTTCTTCTATTAACCTAACAACGTCTAAAAATGTAAATAAAAAAAGAGTGCTCATGCATAGGAGTACAATAATAGGGGAAATGAAAATATTGATTCTCTTTTTCTTTTTCAAGTTGCTCAATAAAAACCTGCCACTTCAGTGCAGTAAGTATCTGTATAGCTGTATCTGTATCATTATAGTCAGTAAAGCATCCCAGGGCAAATGTCACACCAACTTAGAGAGAAGACAATGAGAAGAAATTACAGTTTTAGAGATGGGAGGAAAGCCCAGAAGATATTCTGGGGAAAACCCACTGAATCAGGTAGGGACTGAAAACCCAATCCACATATTGACATATAAATAATTAACATAATTACATATCACACCACGAATGAGAGATACAGGATTGAGTTGATGGGTAACTATAGTCTGTCAGCAGTGTCAGGTAAAATAATATTATAAATTCGGGGTGTGTAAGTGACTTTTTTAAAATTTTAATCTGCCTGATCACTGAGCAAACAGTGGCCCAGTTTGGCTCAGGATTCAAGCTGTGGTAGCCTATTGTCCTCTGGTATGCGGACACTATGGGCTTCTTTTATCGCAAGATTCCTGGCAGCCATGAAGTGCGGAAGCATTCATGCATGAGAAATCTGTCTGACAAACCAAAATTCTGTCAGAAGTTCACATTATGCCAGGATTGTTATTCTATTTTAATCCTCATGGACCTCTGGAAAGTTTGCATTTGCATACAACTGTTTCAATGCGCAACACTCTCAATACTACTTACTAGGCCAAAAAAACAAAACTGCCTCTGATTAAATGGCATTTGAAAATAGGGTTGGTAGGCAGAGATTTTTTTTTTTCAGAATTTTTTTGAGTGTTGACCATAATGTGTCTGCTGTAGTCAAGGGTAAACTTAATTGATGGATTTGGTTGTCAAAATAGGGCAGATACATGTACGGTAACTGGAAGCAGAACTGTTATTTGTTTGTCCTTGATAAGGCCAAAAAAAAATTGTTCTGCTTCCGGTTACCCTACCTCCGGTTACCCTACCTACCCTATTCGGACAGCCCCTACCCTAATTTTTTTTATGGGCAAAAAGAGGGGGAAAAAACGAAAAACATCAATTTCTAACTTTTACCTTTGACAACACACGGACGCCTCCATATGATTAAAAAAAAATTCCCTGACAGAATTTTGGTTAGTCAGACAGTCTCATACTGGTTTGTGCACAGGGTGACAAGTGATGGCCAGATATGGTAATCTTTTCCTGTTTTATTAAAACCAAAAGTAAAAGTGGCATTAAATTATTGTTGTCTTAATTATTGTTGTCTTAATTATTGTTGTCTTTTGATTTACATTTCTCTGCCTGCAGTGTCACTAGTGCCTGCTGTGTTAGTGTTAAATCTTAAATTTGGGGAACTTCGGAATAAAATCATAGCCTGGCTATAGGCCTAACGGGTATAAAAAAAAATGTGACTTACATAAATAAGGCCAGAGTAGTATCTGTCTTTGAGATTGTAGAGAACTGATGCTTCATTCAGACAGGTCAACTCGGCCATATCCTCCACTTTGTTGAACTTGGGAGGGTTCATCTTCTGAATGTCATCCTTGTTCACAACGCGAGACTTGTTATTGTCGGCGATTTCTACCGTGATGTTGTCGCCTTTCTCGCTTTTGATGCTTGCTGCCACGAAGCCATGGACCTCGTCCGGTACCCAGACAAGTCTCTTGGACGTCCATTCTGCCTGAGATGCTGGATCACTCACCAAATCCTTGTCTACAATCAAATATTTCAACTCCGCTGCCGCCATTTTGATTCCTGACTACTTCCGCACTCAATAGCAACGCGATATGCACAAGCCACGTTTTACCATACGAACTTCCAACTGAAGTTCACAACTGTCTCTGAACCAAAATTGGAGCCAATATCGTCAAAATGTTTGCTTGTGAGCTCTCAGACTTCTCATGCTCGTGAAAAGAAATTCAGAGTGTGGAAGCGTTTGCTGGTTTCGTTTTTGCGGTAAATGTTTCGGTAGAAGAGTTTTAGCGTGACTCACCTACCGGATCCCGGCGAGCCGAATCGCTATCGATATCAGAATAAAAATGGCATGGCATCCACCAACGAGGCTTGATTCTGATTGGTTGATTTGTCACGTGATGCTTTAGCTCGTACGCGTACGCGCTACGCGCTGTGTACATGTTAGGGGACACGCCCACAAACCCACAATTCACCAATTTGGCATTTTTATTGTATTTGTCATAGAATTCTGTTTTTTTGTTTTTTATAACACATGTCATTGTGAAAAGTATAAATAGACTTTTTCCTATATTTAAAAAAAAAAACTTCTTCCGGTATTTCGATCTTTTAATGAGGATTTTGTTCATGAACCTTCGAATTCGACTAGACTACAGATAAATAAAAACAGGTCACCCTGGCCCTGGTCATACTTTTCACGGTTAAACTTTACAGCGCCCTCTATTGAATGTCTAGTTTTTAAACAGCTGATGTGACTGATGATGATGATCAATATGAAAAAAAAGGACAGAAATTATCTGTATTAAATTTTGGACTTTTCCCTTGCATAAAAGTGTTTTGATAGCTTTATTCATTTATTTAAAAAAATTTAATTAGGACACAGTGATTCACACCAAAAGTGGGGACTAAAGACGAGATATTTGTATCAATAAAATGCATTTATTTGATTCCATGATTGTATAGATAACAATAAATTCTTACAACCGAGCAGATCAGAACTGTCAACAAGGGTCCAAGTAGCTACTTGTGCACACTTCAAACTTAAGCACAAACCCATGATATGAACAAGTAAACATAAGCAAATTAGTTGGTCATCTATCAATAATACAAACATCAGTACAAATGTTATAATTCTGGTTTGAAAAGTACTATTAAAAAAAGAAATACTGGAGAGACAAATGAAGTACTACATGTATGTAAATTAGAAGATTGACAATGAGTTCCTGTAAGCAGTACATGTATTTCTAGGGCAAATATTTCATTTAGCCACAGGCGACTTTAGAAAGATGGCAAATCCAAACAATGCACACCTAAGTTTACCAATGTGACAGCAGTCACCCACTTTGTACAACTTTTGTTGTTTGAGTTGATTATATTTTTTTTATGGTTAAGTTTTGGTTTAGATTGTTTACAGAATTGTGACATTACAAAATGCCTTTAAAAAGTTAACCCTGTGAAAGAGAGACAAAAAAAATCCACACAAAGATGGGGTTTAAGGAATACAACTTTAAAATACAGTACGCAATTTAGATTAGAAAATAAAAAAACATAAAAAACCAGGACTGAGGATGTGACTTTGCATTTAATTTTGTAAACGTTTAGCAAATATTTTAAGAACCGTTTTTTAATTGTTAAGCCACCCCCAAAGGCTGACGTATGCTCATTATGTCTGCAGACCAGTGTAATTGACATAATAAATCAACAATGGCAGTCATTGAAAAAGCAAAAACATAAACACCTGTGCCCCGAATGAAATCAAGTATTGAAGTGCTTCAAAGGTTTTGTAATTGAAATAGGTTTGAAAACATTGTTAATTATTTGTGCTATGTAAGTTTAAATCAAAGTAAGACTACATGAACGATGAACGTAGGTCCCTATTTTATAATTCGGGTTTCGTTAAAACGTTTTTGGAAAATTTGTATAACGGATTAGAATTTTTGTGTTTAAACGTTTAAGAGTGTAATTGTCACATCCCTCCCCCAGACAGTACATCAACCTGAACAGTCATTAAGAAATCCTTGTTATCTACACAATATTTTTACGGGATATAAACGTGACAATTTGGATATTAAATTATGTCCTGTAATAAAGTACTCTGCCAAATTTGTCCAAGATATGACCAAGCAACTGGCTTTGAAATAACGTAATGCATACCACTAAGAGATAGCATGCATAGCAGCACATATCTGTGGCTATTAACGAAACAAACATATTCACAAATATCTATCGAATATTCATTCGTAGATACAAGTTTCCATAAAAAATATCTCTCAAAACAGCACAGTACACTTCCATGTATGTAAAACTCTATAAAATCTCATTATTTATACAAAGACTATTTACAATATCCTGTGTTTGTTTAAAAACCACATGTTGAGGACCTGCAACCTTGGAATTAATAGTAATACACAGTAGTACCTCCATCAAGAATTAATTTCTGCCCATTTTTTTTTTTAAATATGGAACAAGAAATGTTCAGTTTTAAAAACAAAAAATTCTTCATTAGAAATGAATGCACCTTTCAGGCAGCTAGTGTGAAACCTTTTTGCTTATTTACAGATCACTTAATCTCAAGGGACGTCATTTGATATACGTACAATACCTAATAAAAACCTAATCTGAACCCGAAACAGATAAACATAATGGAGAGCCCACAACTTCTCACGAAAGCCCTCTTGTGACAAAAGAAACAATTACAAATTTTACTTCTAAATAAAATGACGCCTTGCCATTTCTGTCACTTAAGGATTTACCATATTTATTAATTTACATTCCTGAGTTTTTTGTAATGGGATTGAGTGTTCCTGTGAGGGTATACAATGTAATTATACAGTTACAGGTGTCATTTTCGGAAATGGTCAAGTAAATAGCTGGACTAAGCTTGTACTGAATAATGATCGCATACTGAAGTACTGTTCTGATAAAAAAAAAAAAAAACTGGCTCGTTTTCTGGATGATGTACTTTATTTTTTTTAAAGTATTGAATGTAGTCAAAGGTTTTTTTTTTTTTTGGGAGGGCAGATTTTGCTCCACATAATAAGTCGCCGGGAAATCCTAACCATAGATTTGACTAGAGTGTCATCATTCGTATATTTCAGTATCCATTCCAATGAAGATATCAAAAGTAAAAATATACAGCTAGTTAAAAACCAATTTGGTAGGCAGCAGGTGGCCATACTGGACAAACTTGGACGAATTCATGTAATGGCTACAATTGGCATCTGGCTGTGGCTACAATTGACACGTGGCCATGGATAAGACAGCGATCGCGTAGTTACGGGCCTCGATTTAGTTTCGATCAAATTAGAGTCAAAGGTGTTTATTATCTTGAAAAAAGACTTTTTCTACCTAAAGCAGACTTCTCTCAATTTTAATGACACCTTTTTTGTGATTTGGAACAGTTTCTTTGGGTAGAAATTATGATGCGGCTTTACGGTTGGTGTGTAATTCAGCGCGCCTTGGGCGTAAATGGTACATCGCAGCAGTGATTGCCATCTTTATTTTCGTGTTGCGTTTTTCTATTGTCATTGCAAATTTAACTTCAACATTTCCATCTAAAATTAAAAACGCTGCCCTCTATCTATACCTGGATGCTCTTAATGTGGCAAACTAGTTTGTTAAGTCAAATAAATTAAAAGTGGATTTTGTTCTCTTATAGGGAACCGGGCCCAAAACTGCATGATCGCTGATAAGACACTACAAAATGAGCCACTACCTGTCCAATGCCTTGATGGGACTCATCATCAATCCAAGGGGCCAGTCTATCAGCTCCTATTATACACCTGATTACATTTCTTAGCAATTGTCTTAAGATTCAGATCACACAATGCAGCATACAACCTGCCCTTGGTGCATATATCAGGGCATTTATCCCTCCATTGTAGCAGCATCTGTACAGCTTGTTCCTCAGGCCCTGTATAGTTCTCTCTGATGGCTTTCAGATCTGCTTCAAGGGTTTCATCATCACGGACGAAGCGAGCCACCTTGAGCCAGTGGGGTTGGATGAGAGGTGCAATGCGATACAACTGTGATTGAGTGATCTCTTCAGTGTTCTCTCTCATCAGATGTTCATCTGTACGCATGTGCATCATGGGCATTGACTGCGGAGGAGGAAGGCCAAAATAAAGACCAAAGTTAAATTCTTTTTCTTTATGTGACTAAATTAACCCATTATTTATCAAAGTACTTCTCAAACTGCACAAAAAGCACCTTGGTTCGGGTCAACAAAATGTAACAGCTGTTTCTTTACAATGAAATGGAATTTTAAAAAAATTATTCAAAATGCATTGTTGAAAAACCACTCTGATTATTGGTGATCAAGTTTCAATGAACGAAGCATTTTGATACCCAGCTCTCAATCTTCATTTGTAACTCAGTTAAGAGTGATGGATTTCTGTTTATGGTTGTAACTCAGCAGTGTGCGTTGTGTCTACCACGACTTCAGCACTGAAACCCTGGCCCACCACATGCAGGCACTGTAGATATCAGTGTAAAGATCACGGGCCAGCCATTCATGATACGAGCTGGATCGATCAGACCCCTGCACAACATGTCATCATTGTACAGCATCCTTGACTGACTCAACCAAAGCATAAACTCAACTAGCAAGCTCACCTGATTGGAAGTTGAAGGTATAGACCCGTATCTTGTCTCTGTGAGTGGTGTGTTGTAGAATCGGTTAGGTACACTGGTTGATAGTCCACATGACATAGCACTACCTGTATGGCTCTGTACCACTGATACATGGGAAGGTCTGTTAGTCATTGTTCCCAATGGTGGTGAGTGTCTGGAGAATGTAGGTAGCGTTGGTAGCAGTGATGTACTGGGTGACCGTGGCGGTGTAGGCAACTTGGGTTCAGGACTGATTCTTAGTGATTCTAGAAGAGTGTCTTCAGGAGTGGAAAGAGTGGAGGTGGCAACAGTCGCTGAGGTTGCTTCACGTCGTAATCGTTTGGCAGATTGAGGTAGGGTTGGAGTTTGGGATTCACAGGTTGGGCAAACACGCTTCCGTTTGGGACTGCTTAAATGCAATCCACTAGGACCAGCTGCAATACAGATAGCAATATGATAAAGATGGGTAATTGTTCACATTCACAAACTCATCATACTTGACATTGAATGAAGATTCACTCCCTTTTTTTAAGACTGACCAGAAAGCCCAAATGCATCACAATCTCCTGGATAAGAGCAGAATTTATGGCTAGTACGAGTTTTAAAAACAATTTTAAAATACTTTTCTTGATACAGAATTTCAAACCATGAGGAGTCAGCTTGGCACAGAGGTACCTTCTTAAGCGTCCAGCTCTGATACCCAGATATGAATCCCACCATGGCCAATCATGGCTTTTGTTATAAGCCTCTAATTCCATAAATTGAAACTGGACTAATTCTGGGAAATACTTCAGGTCTCTAAAACTGATAATATCTTCACTGTCTTCTAATATGGGTTGCTGTATGGTAATATGCTTGTAAATTATTGAACATTTTTTAATAAAACAAACTACTCAAATAAGGCCTCACGTTGGTTTTCTGTGTTCCCTTCAGCAGTGGATGTCGCTGTAGTCATAGTTGGTGTTGAAGGCCTGCCTCCACCACCAAACCAACTGAATGACAGCATCTCTAACCAACTTGCTGGCTGCTGCTGTTGTTCTTGTTCTTCTGTGTCGCCGACCCGCAGCGCACGTCCCACCTCATTCAGTGTCTGTAAGAAGTCATTATGGGTGCCGCCTTGCCGTCGGTACTCAGCAATGATGGTGGCAAACTTGTCTGGGCTACGACCAAACTTGGTGCGTAGGTCTTGAAGACTGAAGCCAAGAGCACGGGCAAACTGCTTCCAGTTATCTCCATCTGTGATTCCATGCACCTCTGAAAACAACCCAGAAGGAAACTTTGCTAGATGCCACTTTTTTGTCAATGGTACCTTTCTTGTCGACATCTACATGTATTGATTGGTCCCATTCTTTTAGCCGGGTAAAGTCCCTGTACTTACTACAAAACGCTCCAGCGGCACATAATATCCATCGCTACATGCATATTTTGATGAGTGAGAAAGGCAGCAGCAGCTGGCGTGTGTAAAACTTGATGGAGAGTTTTGAATATTTGGTCAAGTGCAGTTTCGAATAATCAAATACTAAATTATTAGAAATGTACAGCCTCGAGTACTACTGTTCTTATGACAAATAAATGTAATATGTGGCTGTACGACAGTTAAGTGTCATTACCTGCCAGTTGTTTGAGTGGCGCAGATGTCCATGGGTCCTCTGGAGACGATGCAGGCTCGTCCATTTTCTGGAACAGAAAAAAGAAAATGATGATCAATAAATATATGTTTTATTACATTCTAAAAGCATCTCTTGTCTCAGAAATCTAAAGGCTCTTCTTCTAGAGAGTTTTGAACATATCCACCAATAAAAGAAAGCATGAAATGTTTTGGTGTGTGTCTTACTGCACAGTGGTCAAGCATGATCTTTGGACAAAGGCATTTGTTGTGGCCTTTCAAAAGTTTTTTTTCCCTAATAAAACCATTTCCACTTGTTTGTTGATGATTGTTGTTTAAAGTCATATCTAGAATTGTGAAATTGTAATTTTTTAGATCTAAGCTTGTGTAATCATTTTCTAGGAGAGTTGTCCAAGTCTTTACACTTCATATAAAGTACATCAATAAAATGCAATTATACTTCAACAAATTGATAAAGTATGTTGGGCTTTTGGGTCAGCATTTCTATGTTTCCACAATTCAAGATTAAAATGCTCTAACCTTGATGAGGTTGAATTCAAACAGTCTCTCTTCTGTGCCATTCTCCCATCGACGCCGCACAAAGACCTTGCCAAAGATGTCCTTGTTGGATGGTTGACCTTTGAACTTACAGGCAAACTGTTTCTCAAACTCTCCACCTTTGTAGTTCTCCTCCACCTGTTCCAACGATTCATCTTCACCTGCAGCTGTGTCAGCCTCAAAGTAGTCAGATTTGCCAAGCTTGACGATGATAGACCCTCCTGCAACAACAAAAAGGCATCACAAATCAGAAACTTAAATACCCCAAAACAAGAACAGTTTATTATTTTACAACCAGTATATGTCAGCATGAGCATTCATCTGATCAGGTATTGTTAATTCAACACTTGGTGCTTAAAAGTATATCAGCAATTAACAACATAAAGTTCATGTGCATGGTACACCTCCTTTTTTAAGACAGCAACATTTATTTTGTAATTATCTGTCTACCTTTATATCCAACAAAATTCAGTAAGATGGTTTCATTCACACAAGGTTGTAATCTATGGATGTACTGACCTGGTCCTATGCTTACAGGTTTCAAGCTACCGCCAACATTCTTGGCGTAGTTCCCCACGTCCTGCATGGGATTATCACTATGATGACAGATGACTACCAGACCAAACTTTCCTGTGTCAGGATTCTCTAGCATCCATGCCTGGCATTTCATGTTGACAGCGCCACCAGAGTAAGCAAAACCCACCCCTAGTCTGGCATTCTGCATCTTACCCCTGATACTAGCCCACAGTGCAGTCAACCAGGAGAAATGCACCACAGGAATGTCAATGAAATAGTTGCCATTCTCGTCACAGTCAATCTTGAAGTTTGTATTTAGTGCTTCCCAAGCTACAGGTTGGTCCTCTGTCGTTGGACTCTGCCAAACCGACAGTTGCGCTTCAAATCCGAAATTCTGAATGATTGCACTGTAGTCTGGGACAGGCAATCTTACAGTGACTGGATTGTCTGAGAAGTTGTTGAAGATGTAACCATGGGGCTGTAGAATTACTACTGGTGTTGCCAATGCATCAGACGGATTGAGGTTAGTCCGTACATCTGCTGGAAGCTCAGAACATATGACTCTGATGCTAGCATTGACATCTCCATGCACACATCCACGAGGAAACTGAACAACCAGTCCAGGTACTTCATTCACTTCAAGTACTCCGCCTTCTTCTGCACTTATCGTTCTACTCACTGAGAACGGTGTCTTACTTAAGACGGCAGTAAACAAGGAGAAATGACTAGTCCTAAGAAGGATGTATCCATCTCTCACTCTGAAGTCACTGGACGGGATGCGTTCCCAGGCTGGTCTTTCTAAGTCATCTGTGTTGCTTCGCAGACAATGAACTTGACTTGGGAAGGGTACTTTGACCATAAGAGGGAGTCTTATGACTGCTGGACGATCTTCATAGAACACAGCCCCATGGGGTCCAAGAAGCACTACAGGACTTGCCGGCACCACAATGGTAGGATCTTCATCTGGTATAAACCTGTGGTCTTTCAAGATGTCTAGTGTGAACTCACTCCTCATGTAATTCATCTTGTTGTGCTCTGGTATCACTACTGTTACATTTAATACCTTTAGAAGTCTAGATCTATTTGGTAAAATGCAGTCATAAGGGCTGGAGTCACTAAGGTTGATGTCACTGTACAGAGGTCTTAGGCAGATTTCACAACGATCCTCAGCAACACTTATGTCGCATCCAATATCCTCATTGTCACTTCCATAATCTCCATGGCAACTCAGGTCGTCATTGTCAATATCCCTACGAAGCCAGTCACTTTCAATGTTGGAACCAGAACAAGAGCCATAATCACTGGTGGAGATCCTTCGTTCATAGAGCAGTATGTCCGCCACTTGTTTATGCCTTGAATTCACTGCTGTACTACTGTTAATAACAGCCACCTCTTCATCATTCTCATCAGGAGGTTCTGGTTTAATATCTGGTCTGTGGCATGAAGTATCATCAGTACAACAAGGTGTTTGCCGTAACTGATACGTTCTGATTTGATCTTGAAGAGATATATCTTCTAGTACTGGCTTGGTTGGAAGAGGAACAGGTCTCTCAAGTTTTATCCCAAAATGTTGACGGATTGCCCGCAATCCGTGTACATAAATATCTCTGGGAACATTCCTGATAGGGTTCCGAGTAACCATAAACTTTTGCAAATTGGGCAACTGGAATACTGTCTCATCTAGTAACTTCACATGGTTTCCAGAAAAGTTAACCACCTGTAGGTTCTCTAAATTGGACAAGCATGAGGGAATGATTCCGATCCTGTTGTGTGAAACATCGAGAGTCTTCAGTCCTTTTAAGCACACCATCTCGACAGGTAGCTTTCGCAGTGTATTGTGGTGAACGTACAAGTGTTGGAGGTTGGTCAGCGTGTTGATACATGGCGGCAGGTCCCGTATATTATTGAAGCTCAAATCCAAGGTTTCTAAGCTGACAAGCAGTCGGCAGTGTTGGAACAGTGCTTCTGGAAATGAGTTCAGGTATTGACCACGTAGATCGAGAGCTTTCCTGTAATGACGCCCACTTCGTGCAATCTCTACATCCTTAGTTGGAAGAGTGTGCAATCTGCTTCGTAAGGACATGAGTCTATTAAAATAAGTAAAAATAAAGGAGGCAAATATTAAAAACAGTAAAAACAGTCAGAAAGAATGCAGTAATGTATAATGCGCCTATCATATGCCCCACCCAGGGGCTGCCCAACCCAAGACGTGGTCGTGGGGATTGTCACTTTTGAAGCAACAAAATCCCCAACCCCCAACCATGCCCCGACATACTTGTCACTTCAAAAGTGACAATCACCACGTCTTGGGTGGGGCAGCCTAGCATGGAGCTATACAACGGACCCGACGCGACTGAGTGAGGAATGTTAACTTCATAGTTCAAGCTTCGCGCAATGAACGGGCTCGTCCATTTAATTTATCCAAGTCGTCGTCAACGTGTAGGCCTAGGCCCAAGTCAGACATGTCAGAAGTTACCTTGTCTTAAATTCCAACAACACGATTGTTGTTATTCAGTTAAGATGACATGAAACACGGACAAGCATTCAACACATAATCTAATAATAACTGTTGAGATACCCATCAATTGTCACGACTTTCCGGTTGGAAATTTATATTCGCCGCATAGCGCTTCGCGCACAACGCTTTTGTTTGTGCCGTACGTGCCATAAAAACTAGCCAGATTCTCCCCCAAGTTTGACGGCATGTCATTCAAAAAATCTCTTCAGTTTACACTAATTTCTGTCAACTGAAAATCGAGGAAAAATTTGACTTACCTTTAAGTTGGTTTCAATTCCAAATATCAGTAACATTTCCGATAATTGCAGGAAAATATTTTGGTCGCCGAAAACAATTCCACGCTGGAAGCCATCTTGAATTGTCGTAGTAGCTCGCGTAGTAGTATTCTGCGCATGGTGTTTATTCATTACCTGGGATTTACGCTTGAGTTAGTAACCAATGGAAAAAGAGGAGAAAATTGCGTGGGCGTGTATTGACCAATGGAAACTCACAAATGAAGAGCGACGCTCACCTGAATTTGCATATTAAAGTGTATACAATTCTTTTACGATACATGCACTATAGTGTATGGTTGTATACATTTTGACACCACTGGCACTGCACTGCGGTTGTGTACAAAGTCTATGAAGAGTAATAGTCCGAGTAACTTGGACCCAACTTTCCGCTTTTTTAACTTTCGGACATGTATGGTCTGGCGACTATCGCCAGACCATGTCCGAATGTACTTAAAAAGGCGATAAGTTGGGTCCAAGTTTCTCGAAGTTGAATATGAAGAGTCAAGAAATTGTCAAAGTATTTGTTCCTAACAAAATTGGAAATGTTTCTCAGTCCAAGATTCATGTCTTATCATCATTTTTGTAATGACGGACCTTCATTGAGATGATATACGATTATGAAGAAATTTTAAAAGCAGCGTCAGGTTGCAACATTCTTTCCAGCAGTCGCAGCGCCGCAGCGTTAATATCACTGCGGGCATGTGCACTGCCCTGCAGGCACTGTGTCTAATAAAGCCCTCCGCACGCGCTCACGTGCTGTATATATAATGATGAGCACAGAGTTATTTGAGTTGTCTGCTAGGATGCGCGGTCAATTTTTGCTGCATTTTTTGCCTGCATGTAAAATTTAGAGTTAGGTATTTCCACCAACAACATGCTTGTTATAAGGCTTTTGTACGAAAGCCCTGTAGTGCCATCAAGTATATATTTCGCCAAGTTCGTTTTTATGAGTTATATATTTCGCCAAGTTCGTTTTTATGAGTTATATATTTCGCCAAGTTCGTTTTTATGAGTTATATATTTCGCCAAGTTCGTTTTTATGAGTTATATATTTCGCAAGGTTCGTTTTTATGAGTTATATATTTCGCCAGGTTCGTTTTTATGAGTTATATATTTCGCCAAGTTCGTTTTTATGAGTTATATATTTCGACAGGTTCGTTTTTATGAGTTATATATTTCGCCAAGTTCGTTTTTATGAGTTATATATTTCGCAAGGTTCGTTTTTATGAGTTATATATTTCGCCAAGTTCGTTTTTATGAGTTATATATTTCGCCAAGTTCGTTTTTATGAGTTATATATTTCGCAAGGTTCGTTTTTATGAGTTATATATTTCGCCAGGTTCGTTTTTATGAGTTATATATTTCGCCAAGTTCGTTTTTATGAGTTATATATTTCGCCAGGTTCGTTTTTATGAGTTATTTATTTCGCCAAGTTCGTTTTTATGAGTTATATATTTCGCCAAGTTCGTTTTTATGAGTTATATATTTCGCAAGGTTCGTTTTTATGAGTTATATATTTCGCCAGGTTCGTTTTTATGAGTTATATATTTCCCAAGGTTCGTTTTTATGAGTTATATATTTCGCCAAGTTCGTTTTTATGAGTTATATTTTACGGAATTACGGAGTTTAATGAAGTTACGGAGCCCCTAAAGGGACATCCAAAATTATTTTTTTATCTCGTGCGCACGACATAATATCTCGTGCGCACGAGATAATTATCACTGGCGCACGACATATATCACGTGCGCACGACATATATCTCGTGCGCACGACATATATCTCGTGCGCACGACATATATCTCGTGCGCACGAGATAATTATAAGCATTAACGGAGCTTGCGCATGTCGTGTGCACGAGATATATGTCATGCGCACGAGATAGTATGTCGTGCGCACGAGATAATAATATAATTTTGGATGTTCCTTTAGGGGCAGCGTACCAGACACGCTGCTTTCGTTACACACAAACTCGTCCGCTGCAAGTGCAGCAAGCTCCGTTAATACTTATAATTATCTCGTGCGCACGAGATATATGTCGTGCGCACGTGATAATTATCTCGTGCGCACGAGATATTATGTCGTGCGCACGAGATATTATGTCGTGCGCACGTCATATATGTCGTGCGCCTGTGATAATTATCTCGTGCGCACGAGATATTATGTCGTGCGCACGAGATAAGAAAATAATTTTGGATGTCCCTTTAGGGGCTCCGTAACTTCATAAAACTCCGTAACTCCGTAAAATATATCTCATAAAAACGAACTTCGACAAAATGTATCTCATAAAAACGAACTTCGAGAAAATGTAACTCATAAAAAGGAACTTCGAGAAAATGTAACTCATAAAAACGAACTTCAACAAAATGTATCTCATAAAAACGAACTTCGACAAAATGTATCTCATAAAAACGAACTTGGCGAAATATATAACTCATAAAAACGAACTTGGCGAAATATATAACTCATAAAAACGAACTTGGCGAAATATATAACTCATAAAAACGAACTTGGCGAAATATATACTTGATGGCACTACAGGGCTTTCGTACTTTTGCAAATTTCCCGCTTGTGTAAACTTCGTGTAAAATAAAAAGGTTTGCCTGCGTATTATCTCGACGAGAGTTTCCTACCTCCATGATAAAGTACAGTAGTTCATTGAGGGCGCTCTTGATCTTAGTAGATGGGAAATTGAGTAGGTGGGCGTGACTGTGGTTTGTGCGGGAAAAACCCTTCCACATAGCAGCCATCTTTGAAGGCAACGTCTTTATTTTGCTGGGAAATGCACGAGTGATTCTTTATGCATTTACTGTTACTGAATTAAACTAACAAAAGATGACGTCCAAGATGGCCGCTGTTTCCGATCAGAGCATAATTACTAATCTCCAACTATATTGACATTCACACATTCAAATTACTACACAGAGACAACGATGATCAACACAGTTATTTCTCAAATGGGCTAAGTTTTCAAAGAATAGCTTTGAATTATTGTTTTATAATGAGCCTGAAAATAACTGTATGATTAAACATGTAAACTATATTTTTTAATAATTTTATTTATGGATTTTTTTTTCATAAAGTCTTACATATGATATCCCAAGTTTACCACAAGCCTTTTTCCCCTAACAGTTTAGAATTTCATTACATCAAGATTGCTACATGTTTGGGTTAATCTTATATTTTGCCGTGTATAAACACTAAATTATGGGATGATGCGTAACTCTTGACTGATGCCAACGGTCATTAAACTTTTGTATGAACATACCCAACGGCGCTACTAACAAGTTTCTAACATAATGGTTGCCAGACTACCAAACATCTGAAGTATCAAAACCACCACCAAGGCACTATATCTAACTTACAATATTCTCTGTGATTGCTGGACTAATTTGCACACAAGTATAAAATAGACCAAACTGCTGCTCTTAGCTCACAATCCGAAATGCAAATCAAAAGTCTTCATTAGGCCTAATCCTTTTTGCTTCGTCTAAGTTCCATATGTTACGAAGTTACTTCAAATCCAAGCAGACAACATAACAGACAAAATTAAATTAAAGGGAAAGGAACACTCAAATGAATGAGGATCGGAATCAAGGAGTTTTTGGAAATGAAATTAGAATTGTTTTAATTATTTACAATCCACAAATTAACACACATAAACAAGATTAAATAAGCAGATGGGAAGCAATTAATTATACTTTACAAATCAAGTAACTCATATCACATGGTTGGTCATTGGTGAGAGGGGAGGTACCTCCAGAGGGTGGAATCCTGGACTGCAGTCTGCCGGAAAAGTTCGGAAGTCGCGAGAGAGAGTTCTTGTCATAACGACTTGCGTCTTGATCGGCGACCTCCGAAACCGGGCCCTTGGTGTGATATGATGGACGGTACGGGTGTAGACCGGATCAGGGGAACGATTGGGCTAGCTGACCAGTCGACGAAGTGCCATAGCAGAGGGGCGTGGCACCGGCGGGAACGGCACCAAGACACTGGCCCAAGCCAAGGAGAGCCAAGTCAGCGGTCAATCTGGCCGTCGTGGTGGTAGGGACCGTGCCCCGTGCAGACGGCAACGGGCAAGGCACGGCCAAGTCAGCGTCCTCAGCAAGCCAGTCGGGTAGCATGGCATCGCCGGAGAGCGAGTCCCTTGACCACACCTCAGCAAACTGCAGTTCATAATCCGAAGAACGGCGAAATTCCAGAGCTTTTAAGTCCGGCAGGGAATTCCACTGGTAAGGAATGTGGGTTGGACTCCAGCGCGAAGTCCCAGTGCGGGAACAAAAGTTCGTTGCAACAAAAGGGGACTATGCCGGACGATCGCGGGCCATTGGCCTAATTTACATGAAGTTAATTTGCTTAAACCTTAAACAATTTACGAATTCTTAACACATACAACAAATAATTAATAACATATAACAGTAGTAATACTTGACCCAGACCCTGAAATCTCTAGGCTGTGTAAACTATATAGACCTACAGAAATTACTAGATAAAGCCTAGATTTCAAATAACCACTGCCCCTAAACTAAGTTGTTGAAAAAGTTGTGTTTTACTCTCATGATTGGTTAAGAGCCATCTTATGTTATGCAAGATGGTTGCAGGACACATCAGGCACATGGAAAGCGCACATGAATATATCTTATTATAGAGTTTGCGCAAACGATATACTTGTACCTAATTAACTCATTACTTAGAATCATTGAAGTTGAACAAAGTGTCAGTATACGAAGGAAATTGTGGCTCCTCGGTCGCCCCCCCCCCCCCTACACTCTGCTTCTGTTTCGTATACTGCAACAATCTCCTCTCAGGTATAAGTTGCAAGCGCAATAGTGGTGGCTGGCAGACAAAGAATTAGTATGCCCCTTAATAATGATGAAGATACATAGTACATGAAAGACCGAGTCTTTTGTATTGTAGGCAGGCTACATTACATCTCGTTTCCAGTGGCGTATCCACTGGAAGAGGCAGAGGGGGCAACTTGCCCCCCCCCCCCTTTTCGTGAAAGAAATTTGTTTAAGTAAGTATTTTCATAAAGTTCTGAGATCAACCCTAACAAAGAAAACCAGCTCAAAAACTATTACATTGCTTCGTGAGAATCTGCATATATTTCCAGTATGCACAATAACGGTCAGTTTTGAAGAGTGCCCCCATTTGTAAGATAGGTACCAGCAAACCCTCATAGGACCTCTGCCCAGTTCTGTCTCATTTTTCCAGAACGCCTCACATAGTTGTTCAGCACAAGGTCTGGTTTTCAACTGGTTTTCTTTCTTGCAGCATAGTTTTAAGGATTCGCATGCATTATGACATCTTGGTATCGAAAGCAAACACAATTATCTTCGCTCATTTGGTTTCATCCGTCGGGCGGGGTGTGCAATAGCCTTGCGCCTGTTTACCGCCGATCTTCACAGGTATAGTAGCCCGTGGGCTCGTAAGTGCAAACCAAACATCATATCAAAGCAAGAGGCAACTCTCCTTTCCTTGAAAGTTTTCATAAGATTTCCTCTTGAAATGAGCGAAATTCCAGTCCATTTGTAGGGAAAGGGGGGATATTTTGGCAGGGAGTTGGAGTGAGTTCGAATTATAAATGTGATTAAAAGTGTCTTGCAAGGTACTTTTGCCATGCACCGGTGGCCCAAGCCATCAAGTTAAACATCCATAGTTTATTTGGCAATAAGATCTTCTCCTCATGACAAGGATAAACACAATTTACATGTAACTGCTTACCACCTTTGAGTAGATGGGAGAGTTATTGGCATTTTTAACAATTAGGTCACAAAGCCTCTTCGGAACGAGACAGTAGTTGTCACAACTAATGGAAAGAGAAAACGGGCGCCGATCGCTTTGTTGGTGAGATGTAAAATCGTTTGCCCTGAGGCGACAGTGCAGGAAGGATAAAGACGAGAGAAATAACTCGTCATCCCTGAGAGTATCTGCAAATAGTAACTGTGTTTGGATTGGTGGTAAGTTCTAGGGTTTCGTGTGGCGTGTTATTCTTATTATCCAATGTGTACCGTGTAACCAAGAGAGATGGCAATGCTGAGCTCCTTTTGTGAGAGTAAATTGACCACGGCTTCGAGGGCTGGTGACTCGGCGTTAATCTCAGCTTTGAGGTCTATGCATAAGCCTCTTCCATTGGGGAAGCGCCAGGATTGTATCCGGTCTGTCCATCTTGCACTGCGCCCATTGAATGGTAAGAATTTATTTAGTCAAAAATCGATCACTTCAATGATTCATTAAATGCATATGTTTTCCAAGATGCATTCCCTGTGCTATTTCGATTTATTGAATTATTATAGTTTTTTTTCGCCCGCAAAATTCGAATTATTTGAGGCCCGAATTTCGCAGGGCGGGTTCCTTTCTGCTCCAAATAGAAGCCCCGGCCTTTATAGAAGTTTGCAAACGTAAAAAATGGCTGTTTCCTCCTGTTAAATCAAACATACAAATTATCTTACACAATTATGGTTTTTCCTCATCCTTTCATTTTGTTCCCTTCTAGCGCCTTGCATCCTTTGGTAATTTGGCGCTTTATAAATCCAGTTATTATTATTATTATTATTATTATTATTATTATTAATGAGATGGCATGTTGGCTTTGACCAATACATGGAACATTAATTGCTGAATTAATTAATGGTCTACTATACTTCAATAACATTGGTGTTTCACACAAGGGCGGATCCAGAACACAATTGTTTTGGGGGGCCAAAAAAATAATTGGTCCCCCCAAAAAGTGGGTCAAAAAAATTACGGCGTAGGGTTCGGGGCCCGCTTAAGGGCCCCGAATTTGTTTGGATTCTAGATGCTCTGTGGCGCGATCTGAGGCAATTTCTGACCACTTTAACCAATGTTTATTTGAGAAAAAGATGGTGGTGTACTCATTGCCTGCCTTTATTGCGATGTCACATAAAAAATTAAAAAATGGTTTCGTTTTTTTGGGGGGGGCATGGCCCCATTTGCCCCCCCCCCTGGATCCGCCCTTGGTTTCACATGTTCTCATAACGTGGTCACTGGATTTTCACCAACGTTTATGAAATCTATTAATGGTCAACTATGATTTCAAGAAAATTGGTCAGGCTTATTTTCACATTGTGCAACAAGACATATTTTTCATACATCACTGCAAAGCGTTGGGCAAAATGGGTTGATATGTAGACCAGCATGCTGGTCAACATATCAACAGGTTAAACTTTTGGGAAAATTCTTTCCAATAGTTGGAAAGTTTTTACCCAAATCAACCCACAATGAGGTAACTTCAATGTTGGGAGAAATTACGTACATTGCCAAACAGTGTTTTACCCCACATTTTTTATAGTGATATAGTTGTCAAGACACGCATGTAAATTTACAGTTACCACTTGCGCTCACGTTCTACATCACATATGTGAAAATGAGCATCACTAATAAATTTATCAAAGTATTATTCAGCACATTACGCCCAGTTTATGACCTCTGTGCCATAAGGTTAAATATAAACTGATCCGCTTCTAAATTTGCACTTATTGACAGTCATGTTGTTACCAACTATATGACATCAATAAATATGCCTGTGACATGTCCATGTGAGAGGACAACATACCCAACTAAAGAAAGCCTAGTTACGGAACATCTGGTCAAGTTTTCTAGAGTGTTTGTCCGTAATGCCTTTCACCAAATTAGTTGGAGCATCTGGTATTGGGTAAATATTATGGAAAATGATCAACATCTTTACTAAAAATGACCAACTTCTGGATAATTTAGGTTTACCCAACGTTTGAATGCCCAACGGTTTTACAGTGTAGACCACGGGGCGCGTATTAAAAGTATGCAACATATCAGTTATCTTAAAGATGTATTGAGTATTCAACTGATGCTTTGTACCATTTACTTTGTATTCAATTTGTCGTATTTTTTTCATTTACTCGTCAATTTTAGACCCTACTTCAGCTACTTGACATGAAATTATGTAAAATACGAGAGTTAACAACGAATGATATTTTATCTGGGCTGTTCATCTCGAACTTTTGTCTCCCGAATCTGAAGTGTGAAACCTTTTTAAATAAATCGTCGGCGTTTTCACGAAGTGGCCAATCCGTCCAAAATCACAAACGTTTTCTTGTTGGTGGCTATTTGGACTTAACTCTGTGTCCTTAACATTTTTTGCCCAGTTCTAAGACTAGAAAACGTTTACTTAATTAATTACGCGGTGACAAAAGAGGTAAATCTGTTCTACGAGCTCTTTAATACCAACGGCCGAAATATGTATCTAGTCATGTCATTTAACTAATGATCTGTCGCATCAATGGAAAATATTTTGAACTTTAGATAAAAAGAGGGGCGAAATTACAGATTCGAAAAGTGACCAACTTCAAAAGCGATTTTCTCAAAACGCAGTGATCGCGCTGCGATGCGTGGGTCGATTCGTCACTTCGTGAAAACGTCGAAGAAACGCAGGTCTTGTGCGCAACATCTGCAATAAATTCTGCATCGGTTGTCTCTGATTTCGACAATCTTTTAAAAATATTTTCACCTGTATTGTATTTGCAGGTTTCACTTCTATCTGAAGCCTACCAGGAGAAGGAATGGCCGGGAACATGGTGCGCGTCATCGGCGTGGCATACACGTTGATCGCTGTGCTGGCTTCCCCGTATAAAGCATCTGCTAGCACTGGTGAGTTAGATTAAAAGCCTAAAACTGTTTTTCTTTATAGGGGACATTTACCAATAAACATTCTTTAGATTCCCTCAAAAAAACATATCTTAAAGTAAAGAAAATACCGAATGATGAGGGGATGCTTGCCTGAAAGTCACAGGTTTATTTTTCGAATATAGATATGCATGTCTGAATGAAGTTGTTTTCGGAGTAAACAAGAGTATCCAGTACTGAGCATTATTATTGAAAGCTGAAAAAAAGATTTTAGGGATTTTAGACCGGAATTAATAATGTACTACGTCGATATATTGTTTTTAGATGGCACAAGTACCATTCAGCCAAGTACTGCAGCTGGGAATGACGTATCGTCAAATGGTGCGGTGTCCAGTCCACTATACAACTCCAGTCCGCAACCGTCGTCTAACTCCACCAATGTCATGATGTCCAGCGATCCTTATAATTCCAGTCCACCTCCATCGGGTCCTACTGACAACACGGTGCTCATGTCTGACTCCACCAATGTCATGATGTCCAGCGATCCTTATAATTCCAGTCCACCTCCATCGGGTCCTACTGACAACACGGTGCTCATGTCTGACTCCACCAATGCCATGATGTCCAGCGATCCTTATAATTCCAGTCCACCACCATCAGGTCCTACTGACAACACAGTGCTCATGTCTGACTCCACCAATGTCATGATGTCCAGCGATCCTTATAATTCCAGTCCACCTCCATCGGGTCCCACTGACAACACGGTGCTCATGTCTGACTCCACCAATGTCATGATGTCCAGCGATCCTTATAATTCCAGTCCACCTCCATCGGGTCCTACTGACAACACGGTGCTCATGTCTGACTCCACCAATGTCATGATGTCCAGCGATCCTTATAATTCCAGTCCACCTCCATCGGGTCCTACTGACAACACGGTGCTCATGTCTGACTCCACCAATGTCATGATGTCCAGCGATCCTTATAATTCCAGTCCACCTCCATCGGGTCCCACTGACAACACGGTGCTCATGTCTGACTCCACCAATGTCATGATGTCCAGCGATCCTTATAATTCCAGTCCACCTCCATCGGGTCCCACTGACAACACGGTGCTCATGTCTGACTCCACCAATGTCATGATGTCCAGCGATCCTTATAATTCCAGTCCACCACCATCCGGTCCTACTGACAACACGGTGCTCATGTCTGACTCCACCAATGTCATGATGTCCAGCGATCCTTATAATTCCAGTCCACCTCCATCGGGTCCCACTGACAACACGGTGCTCATGTCTGACTCCACCAATGTCATGATGTCCAGCGATCCTTATAATTCCAGTCCACCACCATCCGGTCCTACTGACAACACGGTGCTCATGACTGACTCAACCAATGTCATGATGTCCAGCGATCCTTATAATTCCAGTCCACCTCCATCGGGTCCTACTGACAACACGGTGCTCATGTCTGACTCCACCAATGTCATGATGTCCAGCGATCCTTATAATTCCAGTCCACCACCATCCGGTCCTACTGACAACACGGTGCTCATGACTGACTCAACCAATGTCATGATGTCCAGCGATCCTTATAATTCCAGTCCACCTCCATCGGGTCCTACTGACAACACGGTGCTCATGTCTGACTCCACCAATGTCATGATGTCCAGCGATCCTTATAATTCCAGTCCACCACCATCCGGTCCTACTGACAACACGGTGCTCATGTCTGACTCCACCAATGTCATGATGTCCAGCGATCCTTATAATTCCAGTCCACCTCCATCGGGTCCTACTGACAACACAGTGCTCATGTCTGACTCCACCGATGTCATGATGTCCAGCGATCCTTATAATTCCAGTCCACCACCATCGGGTCCCACTGACAACACGGTGCTCATGTCTGACTCCACCAATGTCATGATGTCCAGCGATCCTTATAATTCCAGTCCACTTCCATCGGGTCCTACGGACAACACAGTGCTCATGTCTGACTCCACCAATGTCATGATGTCCAGCGATCCTTATAATTCCAGTCCACCTCCATCGGGTCCTACTGACAACACGGTGCTCATGTCTGACTCCACCAATGTCATGATGTCCAGCGATCCTTATAATTCCAGTCCACTTCCATTGGGTCCTACGGACAACACAGTGCTCATGTCTGACTCCACCAATGTCATGATGTCCAGCGATCCTTATAATTCCAGTCCACCACCATCAGGTCCCACTGACAACACAGTGCTCATGTCTGACTCCACCAATGTCATGATGTCCAGCGATCCTTATAATTCCAGTCCACCACCATCAGGTCCCACTGACAACACAGTGCTCATGTCTGACTCCACCAATGTCATGATGTCCAGCGATCCTTATAATTCCAGTCCATCACCATCAGGTCCTACTGACAACACGGTGTTCATGTCAGACTCCACCAATGTCATGATGTCCAGCGATCCTTATTATTCCAGTCAACCTCTATCATCTGGTACCGATGTAATGATTCAAAACATTGCCGATTCCAACACTGCCAGTCTAATTCCTTCAACGGGATTATCAGCTTCGCCGACTGCTTCCAGTGCCCCAATGTCGAGCCAGTCTTCCAGTGTTACCCCATCTACATCAACAGGATCAGCAGCTGCCTCGACTGCTTCCAGTGACTCAATGTCGAGCCAGTCTTCAAGTGCTTCCCCATCTGCATCAGCGGGATCATCAGCTGGGCTGACTGCTTCCAGTGCCCCAATGTCGAGCCAGTCTTCAAGTGCTACCCCATCTGCATCGGCGGGATCATCAGACGGGCCGACTGCTTCCAGTGCCCCAATGTCGAGCCAGTCTTCCAGTGCTACCCCATCTGCATCGGTGGGTTCATCAGCCGGGCCGACTGCGTCCAGTGCCCCAATGTCGAGCCAGTCTTCCAGTGCTACCCCTTCTGCGTCAGCGGGATCATCAGCTGGGCTGACTGCTCCCAGTGCCCCAATGTCGAGTCAGTCTTCCAGTGCTACCCCATCTGAATCAGCAGGATCATCAGCCGGGCCGACTGCTTCCAGTGCCCCAATGTCGAGCCAGTCTTCCAGTGCTACACCATCTGCATCGGTGGGATCATCAGCTGGGCCGACTGCTTCCAGTGCCCCAATGTCGAGTCAGTCTTCCAGTGCTACACCATCTGCATCGGCGGGATCATCAGCTGGGCCGACTGCTTCCAGTGCCCCAATGTTGAGCCAGTCTTCCAGTGCTACACCATCTGCATCAGCGGGATCATCAGCTGGGCCGACTGCTTTCAGTGCCCAAATGTCAAGCCAGTCTTCCAGTGCTACCCCATCTGCATCGGTGGGATCATCAGCTGGGCCGACTGCTTCCAGTGCCCCAATGTCGAGTCAGTCTTCCAGTGCTACACCATCTGCATCGGCGGGATTATCAGCTTTGCCGACTGCTTCCAGTGCCCCAATGTCGAGCCAGTCTTCCAGTGTTACCCCATCTACATCAACAGGATCAGCAGCTGCCTCGACTGCTTCCAGTGACTCAATGTCGAGCCAGTCTTCAAGTGCTACCCCATCTGCATCAGCGGGATCATCAGCTGGGCTGACTGCTTCCAGTGCCCCAATGTCGAGCCAGTCTTCCAGTGCTACACCATCTGCATCGGCGGGTTCATCAGACGGGCCGACTGCTTCCAGTGCCCTTATGTCGAGTCAGTCTTCCAGTGCTACACCATCTGCATCGGTGGGATCATCAGCTGGGCCGACTGCTTCCAGTGCCCCAATGTCGAGCCAATTTTCCAGTGCTACACCATCTGCATCAGCGGGATCATCAGCTGGGCCGACTGCTTCCAGTGCCCCAATGTCGAGCGAGTCTTCCAGTGCTACCCCATCTGCATCGGTGGGATCATCAGCTGGGCCGACTGCTTCCAGTGCCCCAATGTCGAGTCAGTCTTCCAGCGCTACACCATCTGCATCAGCGGGATCATCAGCTGCTTCGTCTGCTTCTAGTGCCCCAATGTCGAGCCAGTCTTCCAGCGCAACCCCATCTGCATCAGAGGGATCATCAGCTGGGCCGACTGCTTCCAGTGCCCCAATGTCGAGCCAGTCTTCCAGTGCTACCCCATCTGCATCGGCGGGATCATCAGCCGGGCCGACTGCTTCCAGTGCCCCAATGTCGAGCCAGTCTTCCAGCGCTACCCCAACTGCATCAGTGGGATCATCAGCTGGGCCGACTGCTTCCGGTGCCCCAATGTCGAGCCAATCCTCCAGTGCTACACCGTCTGCATCAGCGGGATCATCAGCCGGGCCAACTGCTTCCAGTGCCCCCATGTCGAGCCAGTCTTCCAGCGCTACCCCATCTGCATCGGCGGGATCATCAGCCGGGCCGACTGCTTCCAGTGCCCCAATGTCGAGCGGGTCTTCCAGTGCTACACCATCTGCATCGGTGGGATCATCAGCTGGGCCAACTGCTTCCAGTGCGCCAATGTCGAGTCAGTCTTCCAGCGCAACCCCATCTGCATCAGAGGGATCATCAGCTGGGCCGACTGCTTCCAGTGCCCCAATGTCGAGTCAGTCTGCCAGTGCTACCCCATCTGCATCGGCGGGATCATCAGCCGGGCCGACTGCTTCCAGTGCCCCAATGTCGAGCCAGTCTTCCAGCGCTACCCCAACTGCATCGGTGGGATCATCAGCTGGGCCGACTGCTTCCGGTGCCCCAATGTCGAGCGAGTCTTCCAGTGCTTCCGGTGCCCCAATGTCGAGTCAGTCTTCCAGTGCTACACCATCTGCATCGGTGGGATCATCAGCTGGGCCGACTGCTTCCAGTGCCCCAATGTCGAGTCAGTCTTCCAATGCTACACCATCTGCATCGGTGGGATCATCAGCTGGGCCGACTGCTTCCAGTGCCCCAATGTCGAGCCAGTCTTCCAGTGCTACACCATCTGCATCAGAGGGATCATCAGCTGGGCCGACTGCTTCCAGTGCCCCAATGTCGAGCCAGTCTGCCAGTGCTACCCCATCTGCATCAGCGGGATCATCAGCCGGGCCGACTGCTTCCAGTGCCCCAATGTCGAGCCAGTCTGCCAGTGCTACCCCATCTGCATCAGAGGGATCATCAGCTGGGCCGACTGCTTCCAGTGCCCCAATGTCGAGCCAGTCTTCTAGTGCTACACCATCTGCATCAGCGGGATCATCAGCTGCTTCGTCTGCCTCAAGTGCCCCAATGTCGAGCCAGTCTGCCAGTGCTACCCCATCTGCATCAGCGGGATCATCAGCCGGGCCGACTGCTTCCAGTGCCCCAATGTCGAGCCAGTCTTCCAGTGCTACCCCATCTGCATCAGAGGGATCATCAGCTGGGCCGACTGCTTCCAGTGCCCCAATGTCGAGCCAGTCTGCCAGCGCTACCCCATCTACATCAGCGGGATCATCAGCCGGGCCGACTGCTTCCAGTGCCCCAATGTCGAGCCAGTCTTCCAGCGCTACCCCATCTGCATCGTTGGGATCATCAGCTGGGCCGACTGCTTCCAGTGCCCCAATGTCGAGCCAGTCTTCCAGTGCTACCCCAACTGCATCGGTGGGATCATCAGCTGGGCCGACTGCTTCCAGTGCCCCAATGTCGAGCCAGTCTTCCAGTGCTACACCATCTGCATCGGTGGGATCATCAGCTGGGCCGACTGCTTCCAGTGCCCCAATGTCGAGTCAGTCTTCCAGTGCTACCCCATCTGCATCGGCGGGATCATCAGCTGGGCCGACTTCTTCCAGTGCCCCAATGTCGAGCCAGTCTTCCAGTGCTACCCCATCTGCATCGGCGGGATCATCAGCTGGGCCGACTTCTTCCAGTGCCCCAATGTCGAGCCAGTCTTCCAGTGCTACCCCATCTGCATCGGCGGGATCATCAGCTGGGCCCACTGCTTCCAGTGCCCCAATGTCGAGCCAGTCTTCCAGTGCTACCCCATCTGCATCGGCGGGATCATCAGCAGGGCCGACTGCTTCCAGTGCCCCAATGTCGAGCCAGTCTGCCAGTGCTACACCATCTGCATCGGCGGGATCATCAGCTGGGCCGACTGCTTCCAGTGCCCCAATGTCGAGCCAGTCTTCCAGTGCTACCCCATCTGCATCGGCGGGATCATCAGCAGGGCCGACTGCTTCCAGTGCCCCAATGTCGAGCCAGTCTGCCAGTGCTACACCATCTACATCAGCGGGATCATCAGCCGGGCCGACTGCTTCCAGTGCCCCAATGTCGAGCCAGTCTTCCAGCGCTACCCCAACTGCATCGGTGGGATCATCAGCTGGGCCGACTGCTTCCAGTGCCCCAATGTCGAGCCAGTCTGCCAGTGCTACCCCATCTGCATCGGCGGGATCATCTGCTGGGCCGACTGCTTCCAGTGCCCCAATGTCGAGCCAGTCTTCCAGTGCTACACCATCTACATCAGCGGGATCATCAGCCGGGCCGACTGCTTCCAGTGCCCCAATGACGAGCCAGTCTTCCAGCGCTACCCCAACTGCATCGGTGGGATCATCAGCTGGGCCGACTGCTTCCAGTGCCCCAATGTCGAGCCAGTCTTCCAGTGCTACCCCATCTGCATCGGTGGGATCATCAGCTGGGCCGACTGCGTCCAGTGCCCCAATGTTGAGCCAGTCTTCTAGTGCTACACCATCTGCATCAGCGGGATCATCAGCTGCTTCGTCTGCTTCTAGTGCCCCAATGTCGAGCCAGTCTTCCAGCGCAACCCCATCTGCATCAGAGGGATCATCAGCTGGGCCGACTGCTTCCAGTGCCCCAATGTCGAGCCAATCCTCCAGTGCTACACCGTCTTCATCGGCGGGATCATCAGCCGGGCCAACTGCTTCCAGTGCCCCAATGTCGAGCCAGTCTTCCAGTGCTACCCCATCTGCATCGGCGGGATCATCAGCTGGGCCGACTTCTTCCAGTGCCCCAATGTCGAGCCAGTCTTCCAGTGCTACCCCATCTGCATCGGCGGGATCATCAGCTGGGCCGACTGCTTCAAGTGCCCCAATGTCGAGCCAGACTTTCAGTGCTACCCCGTCTGCATCGGCGGGATCATCAGCCGGGCCGACTGCTTCCAGTGCCCCAATGTCGAGCCAGTCTTCCAGCGCTACCCCATCTGCATCGTTGGGATCATCAGCTGGGCCAACTGCTTCCAGTGCCCCAATGTCGAGCCAGTCTTCCAGTGCTACCCCAACTGCATCGGTGGGATCATCAGCTGGGCCGACTGCTTCCAGTGCCCCAATGTCGAGCCAGTCTTCCAGTGCTACACCATCTGCATCGGCGGGATCATCAGCTGGGCCGACTGCTTCCAGTGCCCCAATGTCGAGCCAGTCTTCCAGTGCTACACCATCTACATCAGTGGGATCATCAGCCGGGCCGACTGCTTCCAGTGCCCCAATGTCGAGCCAATCCTCCAGTGCTACACCGTCTTCATCGGCGGGATCATCAGCCGGGCCAACTGCTTCCAGTGCCCCAATGTCGAGCCAGTCTTCCAGTGCTACCCCATCTGCATCGGCGGGATCATCAGCTGGGCCGACTTCTTCCAGTGCCCCAATGTCGAGCCAGTCTTCCAGTGCTACCCCATCTGCATCGGCGGGATCATCAGCTGGGCCGACTGCTTCAAGTGCCCCAATGTCGAGCCAGTCTTCCAGTGCTACCCCGTCTGCATCGGCGGGATCATCAGCCGGGCCGACTGCTTCAAGTGCCCCAATGTCGAGCCAGTCTTCCAGTGCTACCCCGTCTGCATCGGCGGGATCATCAGCCGGGCCGACTGCTTCCAGTGCCCCAATGTCGAGCCAGTCTTCCAGCGCTACCCCATCTGCATCGGTGGGATCGTCAACTGCTTCCAGTGTTTCATCAAGTCATTCTCCTCTGACCACATCATCAGCGCCAGCAGGTACATCAATTGGCCCAACTCAAGTTCCTATCGAGTCTTCAACTGGATCTGATAATTCCAGTGCAATCTCTCCCACACTGAATACCGAGGTTTTATCCACTTTGTCCTGCGACTCAGCCGAAAGAGATGGTTGCTTGACCGGAAGCACGGATGCTACAACCAGAAAGCCGAGTTCAGAGTTCGAACCAGGTCCACCGCAATACAAGACTAATCTCGTACGGTTGTTTAATGAGAGAATAGGGAAGTTTATCAGGCCATTACGCTGGATGGTTTACCGGTATGGCAAAATATAAACAAATATTCTTGAAACCTATTTTCAGCAAAGGCAATCATTAGTCGGCAGAAAAAAGGTGTGTGCCTTGAAGAATATTATCCTGAGTGAATTCATTTTTATTCTTCTGTGACCTCTGTAGTACGTAGGCGACGTGAATCGATGGCACAAAACACATTTAAACCATTTTTCGTTAGTTAACCATACATTTTCAGTTTACGGGGCTGGGCATTGATTTCATTGATGCTCATTGGTTACTTTTTGTTTGATTCCTCTTGTAAATTCTTGTCCAATTTTAACATCGTTTAAAATTTAATTTAGTTTTTATTTGTTTAATTAGATTGTCTAGATGGTTTGACACTAACTCATAGCATTTACAGTTTGTGTGCATTTTTTGTTTTAATTCAGAGTGACTTTGCGTTCTCATGATGACAATTTTTACCATTTTATCTACATGTATAGACTCGACTGCGCATGCGTATAGGTATATAACCCCCAACATTTTAATTAGTCACTGGCACACGCTCTGTGTTCTTCGGCCAACCAACTGTTACAGTACCCTCACACTGCTACAATGTAACCAAAGCAATTAATATAAAATACAATAATAGATAATGTACAAAACCTGATGAGATCGCCACATCTTCAGGGTGTGGTTTTTTTTTTAGCCGTGTGATTTTCTTGTCTGATTTAATTAAAAGGAATAAAGCTAACATCCTCAGCAAAACATACCTAGGCAAATAGTGGGGAATTCAATAACGGAATTTCAGAAGCGATTTTCAGGCTCTTGAATTTGGTTTTGGATTGCATTATAATCATGGTTGAACCTTTTCGTTCCAGGGACTTCTTAACCTTAATAGTACATATAATGTAAAATGACGAATTAGGAGCAACTGCCTTTCCTCCTTTATTGCAGTCAAAATTGAAGGCGACTTTTTCCCATTCTGGTTACATCGGGTTTACATCTAATTGCAGTCTTCTAATTGGTCCATTACATGCATATCTAATATCGTTTTATTAAAACCCGGTCCACAAATCAGTGCTTGCATTGGTGATTTTGTATTTCCATACCTGTTGACTCATTTACTAATAATCCAAAGCCATCCACATTGGACGTTATGAATATTCATGATGGTTTAAAGGGCGCCCTCTGATGTCCTGTCAGAACCGCACCGGGAAAACAATCGCAAGAGAGTGGGTAGGAAAATTAAACTAATCTCAAACTGTTGGCTTTACTTTGAACACAAAAAAGAGTACAAAACACATGACTTCCCTCCCACCATATGTGATTTGAATTCCTAATTTTGTAGACTTTTGTTTAATTAAAAAGCAAGATATTTTGAAAACAAAATCATGTTTACATTTTCTTGTTTATTTCCACTTTAAAGGAACATTTTAAGGGATTTTCACCAACAATTTGAGTCAATGTACATTTGGTAAGTATCACGAACCAAGGTTAAAATGTCTACTGAAAACAGTCATTGAGCCTTGAATTCAAACATGAAAGAGCCGTTGACATAATTTATGCAGCTACAACTACATGATCAATTGAGGCTGTGACTGGTTTTCTTGGCTATGGCTGAAATTAACACATGGGTGAATGGGAAGTGGCTGTAGCCGCTGTCAGCCGCTTCCATAGACATGTGCGTCATTCCCAGCCGTGGCCAGGTAATTCAGGACCCGCCTAACTTATGATTAGACTTTATTCATGAGTTGGCAATCTTAAAAGGAAAGCGAGGTAAAGTCTTTATTTTTGGAACTTGCGAGTAGAAATGAAGACAATGAAATGATCAATACCAGTCTGCTCTGATGAATAATTAAACATACCCTCATGTTTTAAACCACATTCACAAAAATAGAAAGTGAAGCTTGAAATGCACTCCAATCATAAAACAGACTGGCACCATCCCATTCAACAGTCTACAATTTATAAAATGGATTCAGGGAACACGGTCAAAAATGGCTTCCTCATGAAGAAGGTCTCTTGGCAATGTTTGTATGTACAGCATCATGTACATTAGAAATTCTCGCTACAGTACTAGTAAACAAATTGAGCCAACTGAAAAGTACTTAAACTTGAAGACATTTTAACATTCATATATAACTTTATAATTATTTTGATCATACGTATACAGATATTCACTTTTTTCAGCATAATTAAGAATTCTCATGGCCAGCACATGAACGAGAATGGGAAAGATCTAGAATATGTCATGTAAGGTATGAGAATGACAAATTAAACAGTGAAAGGTGTTTATACACAGGCAGCATTTTACAATGGCGGTACCACCCATGTGACAGGCTCTACACAAGTGGAAATCCTGAACTTTTAAGACAAAAGATTCCTCGACTGACCAAACACAAAAATTCCATTTGAACAGAAACTTCCATATTCCACATTTCAAGGAGCGTCCATGCACATAAAAAAATTGGATAGAAAATATTGGTGCTTATACCGAAAATGAAGAACAATCTACAAGACATAAACAAAGATAACTTGAAGCTTAAAAGTTTCATCTTATTAGTGAATCAAGCTTGTTTTGGCTATGTCATGCCAAGTTTTGAATATTTATGTTTTATGCAAGGTCTATTTCAATGACTCTCAAGGTGAAAAAGACTATCAATACCTAAAGAAACGGTTGTGTTTTATGGAAACAAATAACTAAAGTATGTTCAAAAAAATTCTGATAGGCTACTCACAAAATATACATTCCATACAGAATTTCATTGGACATTTAAAAAATATATTGTGATTTAGTAAAATCATTTGTTTGGCAATAATGGGACTGCATGACTATTACTCCCTGTTTTGATTTGTCATTTAAATGCATAATTTGAATCACTATTGATTTCAATATTTTGTGGTAATTCATGGATGTTTGCTCCATTATTGGTTTAAATAACTTTTTATATAACAAGAGCTTTATTACTTTCAATGCAAAATGTACAAAAGAGTAAGCCTTCCAACGGGTCCCACTGTGAATCTTAAGAGCTTAGTAAATTGAGCCAAATTAGTAAGCATACTCTATCACTGCTTTCTGCTTACGATCAAATGCTTCATAACAAGAGCATCATAACACTGAGCCAAATTAGTAAGCACACTCCATCACTGCTTACTGCATACGATCAAACGCTTAGCAGTCTACAATTTATCAGATGTCAACATATTATGTCACTGCTTGATAAGCTCATGCTATCAGTGATCATTATGACAATCTCACACTAAGACTATTCCACTAGTTTATCAGGATGATCACATTGGATGATACCACGTTTACACTAGATCCCGTAAGGGGGATCTGAGGGGGATCCAGCCACATCCTGTCAGCGTAGAAAAGTCCGCGAAATATATTTTGTTATGTAAGTGAGTTGCCGGTGAGACCTGTGTGAATGAGGCGATGGTTCCCAACGCGGTTCTGAGCACAGTACATATGTGCGGTTGGTACTCGGCCAGAATCAATTGGTGCTTCCTCCACATACATGAAATTGGAGACTGTGTAGTCATGTCTTCTGTTTTAGTCCTTAAATAGTGTTTTTCTTTCCAAAATCATTTCTGCATTAAGCAGTCTGGTTTATATTCTTTGAAATCCATTTTTTGTGTGGAAGTTTGAACATTATCCTTGGGTTGAAAATGTGATTTTCTCACGCATTTTCAGTTGATACCAACGCGGTTCAGCATTGCCGCAGTGCCCGGCCATCAACGATTTTTTTCGGGTTGTGTTTTGAAATCATCGTCTTCATTGCTAGTTTACCCCCCAAGACTCCCTAATAACTTCAAAGCCCGGTTGGTGTTACATATTAATTAGTAGTTGGGTGACTCCTGAATCACCAGGTTACGTTCTCTATATTTGGAACAGGGCCCTTTAGCTACACAATCGCCATGAAATAGCTACCTACACACACACGACATGTCCCCAAATCTGATCATTTGTGTAGTCCTATTTATGCTGATATTATGTTGTATTATATTCGTTGACTAGTGTTAACAATGCGTGGAGGATGAAGCTAAATTATATTACGACAAAAATCGGGGGACCAGCGTGAGTAAAATATTAAGTAAATCAATATGATAGCAATTTCTGCAGTGATTAGCACGCAAAATTGGCCATCTTCTGCGCACACTCAATGACCTTCCTTCCGTTGTAAATTGGGGATTGGAGGGGGATCAGGATAGGGTATAAACACGGCACAGTTCTCTTGCGGTTAGCTTCCCTGTAGTTTTATTGCAACCGCAGAATGCGATCGCCCTCTGCAGGATCGAGTGTAAACGCGGTGTAAGTGACATAGAACACAAATAGTGTTCGGTTTCAGCTGTCTTAAAACAAGACAATTAAAACTTAATGTACATTTATTTACAGAGAATTAATGGTACAGCTGATAAAATGACGTCCATTTTTTGACATTTTATGACGGATGTCTGTATTAGTACACAAATAAAACATGGTTCAGTTCGGGTGGATAGTCGATATTAGCTCTCCGAGGTGTTGGAAGTTGACAGACTAGTTAGAACTAGTTTGTCAACTTCCATACCTAATGGCTAATATCGACTACCCACCAGAACTAAATCATATTTTACTTGTTTTGCTATACCTCAATCACATTCACGAACATGTCATGATGTTACGCATACGTTTTCTCGGCAAAATGTTGTTGTGCCCCATCTTTTCATGTAGTTGCTGCATGCTGCTAGGGTGATTCGCGTACGCACTACCACCTGCGCCAGTTCCACGATTGCTTTGTGAAGTGCATGCGTAATAGACTAGCAAACTGGTAACCACTGCGATAGTCTACCATGCATAACTATTTAAGCTGTGTATGAATACTTGCATGCCCGCTTGCTAAATTGCAAAACTAGCGGCTGACACGTGATGGTGAATAGACCAGTGAGAACTCGGCTCTTGATCATGAATATGCATGAGGTGTAGTAATATGGACGTTCCCACTGAGAACACGTCATTATAGTTAGCTTTTGAATGGTTGAATGATGGGTGGGGCTCACATCTTTTCATCAGTCATTTCAAGGAAGTTCTCATAGACCTCTCGACTGCATTCTCCTTTCTGATTGAAGACAAATTTGAAGTAGCTGCCATCTGCGCAGATTGCTGTTAAAAAAACAAAGTTGGAAAAGCATTCAATTCAAAGTACATGTTTATGCATTAACTGGTTTGCTTTCCCCACACAATTCACGATACAGAAGAGGTGCACTGTTTATTGGTTTCATGGAGTAATTGTTAAAACACACAAATAACTGAACTTCTATGGTGAAATTGAATTTCAGCTTACAAGACAACTTTCAGCTAATTGTCCAATTATCACACTGTACAAGGAGACCCAAAAAAGACCTTGATGACATTACTATAAACTCAGTGGCATAATTAGTGTGAAACTTTCTGGGGGCACCCAGGGTGCATATTTCTTTTCAACATATTTTTGTTCAATTCAAGATTTTAAACCGGGGGCAATGGGGTAGGCAGGTGGGGAGAGGCACAGACATTTGTTAGGGATCATGTGCCCCCTCCCGCCCCCCTCTCGCCCCCAAGATTACATCACGGTATAAACATCTCACCTATGACTGAGTTGCTGTCAGCACCAAATGCACAGATGCACTGCGCATTGCCTGGAACTTGGAACTTGGAAAAACTCCACTTGGAACTAAAATATTTGGGCAGGAAACTGGCAGATGCAAGGCTGTGGGCAAATAGAAAGGTCCGAGAGTATTCAATGGCACATGACCATGTGTGGCAATGGCATTCCAGCTAAACGAATGTGACCAATAAACAGGCATCTGACAGTAACAAAGTGCAACTTTACGAGTAAAAAATACAACACAGTCATGTGCATGTGCATAGTTTCTTCTTTTCGAATATTCAAACCCACAAAAAGATATTCGAATATTCGTTTGATGAGCGACTATTAAATACTTGGTCTATTCAGGACTTATTAGGGTGATGGGTATGAGGTCAATGTTTTTTCTTCACCTTGACTGCTTGTTTTTCCGTGGTTCCTCCGCTCCAAACACATGCACCGTGCCATGGTCACTTGAAACACACAGTAGCGAGGAGTCTTGGTTGAAGTTGATGCTGTAACAAAATAACATCATGAGTTTCAATGTGTGACACTCAACAAGCAAACATGAAGCCCGTTCCTTTTTATGATGACAGACTTTAACTCTTTGCATCTAGCAGCTTTTCGCTGAATCCATCAAAGGAAAGCCACCTACAACTCAATCAACAGATGTAACATATGTTGCAAATTCTCCACAACATCAAGTGAGCACAATTTTTGAAGTCAAATCTGCTTGCCAATCCTATTCTTAAGCACAGATCAGCCTTTAATATAAAATAGATTCTGTTACAAAAAAAAATGGTCTACATGATACTGTATTTTACTATACCCCGTTGCAAACTACAAATCAACCATGTGGGTTATTATCTAAGTTACTCACCAGTAGATGTTAGCACTACCTGAGCCCCGTCTTAGTTCTTGTAACTGGGTTCCGTTGCTTGTGTCAAATATCCTTATGAGAGTTCCCTGGAAAATAAAATCAGTTTCAATTAAGACTTTTATCATCTCTGAAGTAAAAGTTTCTACATCATTGTAATCACATTCTTTGTCATCTGTTGTCCGAACTGTAGTCATGCATTAAGTCATTGTCTTCAATACTGTCAATGACACTGGCAAATATCATCTCAATATTGTCATCCATGTCACTGTCACTATCCTTGTCAACACTGTAATTAATGTCTAGGGATGTGACTTTGCATTTTATTTTGTAAATGTTCAGCAATATTTTAAAGAACCGTTTAAGCGTTTAGCCATTTCATAAAGGTTGATGCCTGCCCATATGTCTACAGTCGCAAACCGGCGTGATTACCACAATGAATGAACAATGATTGACATAATAAATAGCAGGGTGTCATCGAAAACATAAAAACTTAAATACATATCATCATGTCCATGCAACAACGCCATATCTCCTAAAATGAGCCGTACATGAAACGCGAGTTTCATAATGTCGAAAGGTTGTATCTCACTTACAATAACCCAGATGTACACACAAAGTCAATAAACGTTGAGATACGACCTTGTTGTATGGAACGTATTTGCGCGAGATATGATTTTGTTGCAGAATGGAGTTACGACCTTGTTGCACTGACGCGACGATATACCCCAAATGTAATCAAGTACTGCAGTGCTTCAAAGGTTTTGTAAATTACATAGGCAAAACATCAAAGATGTTTGCTGTGTTTGTTTAACTCATACTGTCTCTTTTCTATAATTCGGGTTTGTGTCAACAATTAGGAATTATTGTTAACAGATTTGTTGTAAACGTTGTAAGTGTAAACGTCACATCCTTATTAATGTCACTATCATACATCATCATTACTTTTGATGATTGTCATTGTTGCTTCATCTTCCTTCACACTGCCTGTCATTTTCATTTAAAACAGCTCCACAAAATCTGCAGCACACTTTGACTTACCTTTTCAGATGCTGACGCTATTCTTGTACCTTGATGGTTGAACGTTAAGCAACTCAAGGCATTATCGTGAGCTGCAATGTCCACTGGGTCCTTCTCTGTGCTGGCTAGGTCAATGATTTGTATGTGACCTGTCCTACGACCAGGGAACGCTAACAAAGAATTGTTACTGTTGGGGCACAGCACACACAGACCTGCCAAAATGATTACGGGTCGCGGTTAATTGATGTCATAAACATCAAACTAAGGAAAGAAACAAAAATGGAGAGAGGCAAAAAGAGGTAAAGTGACTTGCCCAAGGACACACTTGGCAAGTAACT